TTATTTAAATTTTATTTTTCTCGTGTCAGTTAATAATATTATAATTAACTTCCATTTATAATTTATATTTGTTTGTGTTTTCGATATATCAGTTTATCAATTTATTGATTATATTACTGTAACTAATATCTCACTTTAGTCGATCACATTCTATTGATCTAATTTCGGTTTCGTCACCGTTCGTTTCAATAATTTTCATGATCATATTATCAATTAAATATTCTTATTGACATTTTCAATGATTCTTTTAATATATTTATTCGTTTTCGTAATGTTAGATATATAGTTCAGACAATAACGATTGCTAATATATACAGTCTATAATATATCGTTATTTAATATAAATAAAAGAGATCTTGCTTAAGTCAATTTTAATATAAAATTCGAAATGCTAATCAAGTCTCATTAATAAACTCTATTATTAACTTCAATAATAATAATCAACTAAATATTGTTGTTATCTGATATGATAAAAATAAATTGAATGTATGTATTATTTTAAAATATCGAATATTTATATGAAAAATAATATTTAGAATTTATACTATGAAAATCCAACATATTGATGATGATTTTCAAACTAATAATCAATTTAATATTTTTATTACTCATTCTATGTTAGAATGAACGTCATTTTTTTGTTGTACGTATATTTATTTGAATGTTCTATTATATCTTTAACTTATTTATTGTTTAATTGAAAAAATTTAATTATATTATTGATTAACTTACGTATATTATAAATATTATAGAATGAATATTTGTTTGTTGATTAATATATTTAGAGTATTTAAATAAATATTAAAGTAGAAATCGTATAAATAAATTAGATTTAAATGAAAAAGTAATTATAAAATAATCTATATTAAATAATATTACATTTAAATAAATAAATATATAAAAAATGTTTTTGATTAAATAGAATATAATAATGAAAATGTTTCTCAATATTGAATTTTCAATTCAAGATAATATTTGAATAGTATTCAACAAACAATTTTTGTTTTTATCATAAAGAAATTTTATTCGAATTCTAAAAACAAAAAAAATCTTAATCTTTTTAATAAAAAACAAAATCTAAAATAATCAAATGGAAGTTAATTATAATATTATTAACTGACACGAGAAAAATAAAATTTAAATAATTTATGATGAAATATAAGCTCTATTTACTGCATAAGGCGATTGTCTACGATAATGTGGTGATTGAACAATTGTTGGTAGAAGAGGAGTTCCTCGGAATTGAAGAGGAATTTCTATTGTTAAATTTGATCTTGCTCGATAATATAATTGAGGCATTGGACCTTGATATTTAGCACAATAATTAGGTATTGTCCAACATATCATACATGAAAGACATGATAAAAATAGAAAAGAAAGAGCAAATAATCCAATTAATAAAGCACTTAAAGCAAATTGGGTTGTTTGTTCTTTATTTCTGTTTGTTTTATCAGATAAAGTTGGATGTTTTATATAACGTTGAAGAACATCAATTGATGTTAATAAACCAAAAATACAAAGTACAATAGCTACAATTGTATATGGAAGTAATATATTAAATGAATTATGAGATTTTTCTTTAACAGCAATTAATGTAAAAACACCAACAGCTATTACAAATAAACCAATCCAAATACCTTTTCCAGAACTTGGCCAAATTGATTGTTCAGATTGTTTTATTGTTGCTGATAATCTACTTAGATCTACAGCTGTTATTCCAACTAAACATAAACCAAGAAAAATAATTAAACGAGCAAGACTTTTGTTCGCATCTAATTTTCTACGATCACGAAGAGAAGAAAAAACTCTTATACCATAATAACTAATATAATAAACAATTATATTCAAAAATAATATCAAATATAAATCTTACCGAAGTTCAACGACTTGATTTTCACTAAGAATGCTTTGTGCTATTTCAGACATTGACAATTTTCTATTTGATGATAAACATATTGAATAGAATTACTTTTTTTTTATTTTTTTTTTTTTTTCACTGCAACTTTCTTTCAATCATTCATGCATAACGACAATCAAACAGTCTGATTAAGACAACAACACTTAAGAGAACGACAAAAACAAATAAAAAGACAGAAAAGAAATAAAAATAATTTATTTTTCAACATTTTATTTTAATAATCATATAAAAAAGAAGCGTGAAACTTTTTTTAAATATTCTATGAAACAACATTTTTTGGTCAATGAATAAATTTGAATAATGAATATAACGAAACTATTTTGACGTATCCTATCACCAAATATTATCTGTACGATAATTAATAACGAAAAATTATTTCCTATCTGATCATTTCGAATAAAGACATTTTTTTTGTGTCAAAGAAAGAAAAAGTTACATTTTCATAATGTATTTTTCTTTTTATTTATATAAAAGTCATACAATTGTGTCTCTTATCATGT